TTTTTTTTTTTTTTTATCGTAACTATAGGACACACTTATATTCACAACAAGTCGAGACTAGAGAACAATTATTTAATCAAATGTACAGCCAACAGTCGAATAAGCTGAACAATTGATTCTTATAGAGAGGATTATGTACACACTGACGGTAGCCTAGATTCAACCGACAAAACAAAACACAACTAAAAAGCTTTTAAAAGGAGAAGAAAAATGCTCCCAACAGGAGAATACATCCAACACACTCGTAACGAAAGAGAGAAGAAAACACACAAACAAAACGAACCACAACACAGAAACGCTAACAAATTAGCTAAAACAACTACAAACTACGAGCTCATTCGATATAAGATAAGAAGGAAGAGCCCAAAGGGCGATACTTCACAGCGCTTCGAAAAGTTTGTTTGGTTGAGACAATTACATTGAACCTCACCTTCCCCGGACTTGTAAGTGCATAAGAAGAAGGATGAAAGTCCGCACATGGTGCCTTGAAAAAACACAAACAAAACGAACCACAACACAAAAACGCTAACAAATTAGCTAAAACAACTACAAACTAGCCAAACTAGAAGCTTAAACTAAAACACAAACTAAATACTAAAAGACACAACTAAAGACATTTAAACAATCCTCCCCGCCGCGGAGAAACTACTCCAAGCTACACAATAGCAATGCGAACAAATATCCGTCAACACGGACCGAGCCACAGTCCTGGAGTTCGACCCAAAATATGCTAGAGAACGCCTAACTAAGTCCGACACCTACGACTGCAACCCAAATTCGGACAGACACCCCAGCCATAACCCAGAGACCCACATCACGACCACCCACCACTGACACCAACAACCAAGCCAGATAACTGAAGCCCGGGCCTCGGTCAGGCCTCGACTGCTGACCCTCCATCCAACACCAGGATGAATAGGAGCATGGTGGATAGTGGCGAGCCCTCCAAACCGAATCCCTCCAAAAAAGGGGAAAAGACAGGACCACCACCCAAAACCGAAGATCCAACGGAAGCACGCCACAACGGAGAACACCAGGAAAGCGGCAACCTGCAACCCCGTCCTAGCGCCAACAGTCCATGACGAAAACTTAATAAGGGGACCGGCTCCGTCTCCACCAGTGAAGAAAAGCACCTCTTGCTGGCGGTCCTCCCAAAATTGGACCGCAAGACCCAGGGCCGCCGAACAACTCAGAGAGCCTCGCAGGGGGGACATGTTGAATCAAACGGAAGAAGGCTAAGAGGAAAGGGGGAAAAGGGGATCTGAGGGAAGGGGGATGGAGAGAGATAATTGTGCCAAATCTAATTGTAACTATGCTCGCATTGCAAATTTGTCATGTTATCATGGTTTTATTGCATTGAAATTAAGCGAGGAAAGTGGGTGGTGGGATGATACCATGTTAGAATTGTATCCGATGCTCGTGTTCTTTGCACGTTGATTGATTCCACAATGGCTTGTTATATACTGGACAAAGTTGAGTTGGCCTGAAAGGGTCCCCATACTGCTTGGAAACATAATCGCGACCATTATTAAGCCGACTCGAACAACACGAGCTGCCTTAATCGGATTTGAACTGAACAATAAGATAGGTAGATATGCTTTCAATCCAAACTGTTTTGGTACAAATGTAGTGGTTCCAATTTATGCAAACAAAAATTGATTATCCAAGCGTGTTTGCGACAGATAGCAAATTAGCAATAAACAATTTTGATAATTCATGATCATCATGTTATTTATTGTCTCAGGAACTAGGGACCAAAATTGCAAGCGTTGCACCAAATGATCTTCTTAGCTAACATTATGATACGAATCAAAAATAGCATCGGCAAGGTATTCACACTTGGCCAAAGATAAACCGGCTAACGATATTCTTCCATCCTTGGTCATGTAGATGTGCCACTTGTTGCTCATGTTCTCGCTCTACATGCGGCAGACATATTAAAAGAAGACGTCAAAACCCAAGAAAAAAGAAAAAAAAAAAATCAAGCAAAAATAGCACACGAAAAGATATTAGTTACACACACAGTCAGCACATAAACGCACACAACCAAACTCAATACCTGAGCTTTGTTCAAGCCTGTGAATGAGAACATGCCGATTTGTTTGAGAATAAAGGACCAGTCCTTGCCGGTTTTGTCCTTTGCACTTAGGCTATCGTATAATTTCTGGCGGACACTCTTTATTCTTCCAGCCATCATCTCCATCTCCTCTTTCCACTCATTGAAGAGATCAGAGTTCCCCACTACATTCGCGACTATCTTAGCTCCGTGTATTGGAGGATTTGAGTACATGGGCCGTGCAATCCTTTTCAACTGGCTCTTCACCCTGCCATAAACAGCAAACCAAAAAAAAAAA